GATTACAGGTCTGTGTCACCACCCCCAGCTAATTTTTGTGTTTTTAGTAGAGATAGGATTTCACCATATTGGCCAGGCTGGTCTTGAACTCCTGACCTCAAATGATCCACCCTTCTCGGCCTCCTAGAGTGCTGGGATTACAGGCGTGAGACAGCATGCCCAGCCTTGATTGGCCTTCTTGACTTGAAACTAGTGTGGTCATTTCCTGAAATCTGTGACTGTATTTTCTTGTTTGTCTTTACTGCTTCTCTTCATACATATACCTTGGGGCATTTTCTGAAGCCTAGCTTTGTACCTCTTACCCTCCCTTCCAAAACATGTTCCTTCCCCTCTTCCAGTATATGAGTCCTGGGTAGAGAACTACCTCATTTCCTCACCTCTGCCACCACTTAGTGACCCTCGACTCAGACTTTTCTGCAAGTCAGTTCTTTTTCTCCTGCTCAGTAACCCCTGGACATATTCCTGAGGCCATATTTTCTCCAGGTGAAGAAAATATCACTTCTGGCCAGGCATAGTGGCTCATGTCTGTAATCCCAGCACTTTGGGAGGGCGAGTCGGGCAGATCATGAGGTCAGGAGACCAAGTCCATCCTGGCTAACACGGTGAAACCACATCTCTACTAAAAAAACTACAAAAAAATTAGCCGGGTGTGGTGGTGGGCCCCTGTAGTACCAGTTACTCTGGAGGCTGAGGTAGGAGAATGGTGTGAACCCGGGAGGCAGTGAGCCACAATCGCACCGCTGCACTCCAGCTTGGGTGACAGAGTGAGACTCCATCTCAAAAAAAAAAAAAAAAAGAAAAAAGAAAATATCATTTCTTTGCAAGGACAAGGTGGGAGTTTTACTTGATCTCAGGAGTTGGAGACCAGCCTGGGCAACATAGTGAGACCTCCGTCTCTTAAAAAAATGAATTTTAGATTGGGCACAGGGGTTCATGCCTGTGATCCCAGAACTTCGGGAGGCCAAGGTGGGAGGATTGCTTGAGATCAGCCTAGGCAACATAGTGAGACCCCAAAATTTGCTAGGTGTGGTGGTCCGTGCCTGTCTTTCCAGCTACTTGGGAGGCTGAGGCGGGAGGATTGCTTGAGCCTGGGAGGTTAAGGGTTCAGTAAACTGTGATTTTGCCCCTGTACTCCAGCCCAAGCAGCAGAGTGAGACCCTGTCTCAAAATAAATAAGTAAGTAAATAAATAAATATCACTTATCAAAGTGTCCTGTCCTTCCTGACTCTGAGGTTCTTACCAGCTGATGAATCACATCTTCCTTCTTGATATGGATTGTATTTGCCATTTGCTTTCTATGCCTACACCTTGATTTAGACTTTGTACCTTTTTCCTAAGGGATTTCAGAGTTAACGTGGTCCTACTCTGGATGTGAAAGGAACCCAGTGAATTTAGTCATGAATTGAGTTAGCTCACATTTGTGGAGTACCTACAGTATGGCCCAGTTACTTTACTGGAAGATCAGAATACAGAGCCTAACAGCACATCCTGGGAAGAATGCCAAATAAGCAATTGTCATAAAGTATCATAAGTGCCTAGAAGGGGAGACACCAAGTAACCTCTCCCAGTTTTCAGAGATCTTTCCTGTCTTGTTCACTGCTTTGATCTCCAGGGCCTAGAACACAGTGCATTGGAAATGATGAAGTATTTGTTGAAGGAATGAATGATCGTCTGAGAATGACATCAGAATAAATGTTACACATATTAGCTATCTATAGAAAAGATATAAGTCGAAAGATATTTTGTAAATGTAGTTTGAAGAATCTCAGGGAAAACTTTAAATTCAACCAAACTGACCCAGCTATAACCCCAGGAAGGCATGCTTGGAATGCGTTTGTAGCCAGAAAGCTTAAACTTAATTTTGTATCCTCAGAAGAAATACTTGTGCTTCTGGGAGAGGATTGGGACAGTGTCTGGAAATTGGGGTGGCGGGTCCAAGAGAGGAATTAAGTGGTGTGTGTGTAGCACTGTCTGGGGCCCTGACCAGAGGAGCAGTGTGCAGTGTTCCCTCCACAAAGCCATCTGCACTAACGCACAGATGGGCGTGTCCCTGTTGTTGCCTCTGGCTTCGAGGGTCTCTCCCTTGCTTAGCGTCTGTCCTCCCAGTACCATCTGAGTAGAAGATAGCTGCATGTGGAGATTTCTTGGTAAGGAGAGAATGTGAGTGGTTGAGAGCTCTGCATCTAAGCTGCTTGGATCAGATCCTGGTCTTGGGATGCTGGCTAATCTTTCAGTTTTCTGATTTGTAGAATGGGGATAATAGTAGCACCTTTCTCTTAGTGTTGCAGTGAGGGCTCTGAGCACGCTCCCTGGCACCTGTGATAAGTATTCAATGAGAGTATTAGCTCTCGTTGGTGTTTATAAACTAGTAACTGGCCTCTGGTTCATACATCAGTCTTCTTTGAGCTTAGATAGCCTAAATAATCAGTCCCCATGAAACTGCTTGCTTCTGGTTCCATTGAATAAGCTGATAGACATTGGGAAGTAATGACAGATAAGCTGCTCCTAAACTGTTCATCCAGGGAATCCAGCCTGCAGTTCTCGGGAGACTTCCTGGAGAAGGCTGTTCTTGAGCTGAGTACCGTGGGAAAAAGTAAGTCCAGTGCCACAGCAAGAGGGGAGGACTCTTGGGCAGGGGCATGACACGTCCAAAGGTGTGAAGGTGAGAGCAAGCATGAGGTATTTGAGCTGCAGGAGATTGAGGGTAGAGTCTGGACAGGTGTGAATAAGGAGTAGAGGGAAATGACATTGGAAAGTGGGACCAGTCCTTGAAATAACTGATAACAATGTCTAACTAGGCACTAACAGCACTTCAGGTCCTGTGCTGAGTCCTTCGACTCACTGTGCTAATGAGGTTTGATGCTGAGGGCTTTGTCTATATTGCCTTGTTCAATCCTCACAACAACCCTTTGATGTAGGTACTTACCTCTGGTATGTGTGGCATCATGTCACATGTCACCTGGCAGGTCTCTCTGTTTTTTTTTTTTGTTTTTTTTTTTGAGATGGAATCTTGCTCTGTAACCCTGGCTGGAGTGTAGTGGCAGGCTCTCCGCTCACTGCAACATCCACCTCCCGGGTTCAAGTGATTCTTCTGCCACAGCTTCCTGAGTAGCTGGGACTACAGGCGAGTGCCACCATGCCCGGTTTATTTTTGTATTTTCAGTAGAGACAGGGTTTCACCATATTGGCCAGGCTGATCTCGAACTCCTGACCTCGTGATCCGCCCACCTCAGCCTCTCAAAGTGCTGGAATTACAGGCGTGAACCACCGCGCTGGCCTCAAAATATGAATTACCTTTTTTTTTTTTTTTTGAGGCAGAGTCTCTCTCTCACCCAGGCTGGAGTACAGTGGCGTGATCTCAGCTCATTGCAACCTCCACCTCCTGGGTTGAAGTGATTCTCCTGCCTTGGCCTCCCAAGTAGCTGGGATTACAGGTATGCACCACCATGCCCGGCTAATTTTTATATTTTTAGTAGAGACGGGGGTTTCACTGTATTGGCTAGGCTGGTTTCGAACTCCTGACCTCAGGTGATCCGCCCGCCTTGGCCTCCCAAAGTGCTGGGATTATAGGCGAGAGCCACCTCACCTGGCCTCTGCTTCTTGATTCAGCCTGCACATGGCTGCCAAGGTAACTCCCGCTGTCTTATATAGGTTTAAAAGCTTTTTGTGATCCTGTTTCCTAATGAAGTCCAAGCACACTAAGATTCTCTGACTTTAAGAAAAACCATGAAGTTAAAATGTAAAAATATGTACATCTTAGAATTTAATCAAAACAGCACAGGTGCAGATGTAGATCAAGCTCAGAGAAATAATCAGTGAAAAAAGCAAGGTGCAGAACAATGTATATTTGCCCATTTGTGCTTTTCTAATTTTATTATTTTATTTTTTTTTATTTTTTTTTGAGACGGAGTCTCGCTCTGTCGCCCAGACTGGAGTGCAGTGGCCCAATCTCAGCTCACTGCAAGCTCCGCCTCCCAGGTTCACACCATTCTCTTGCCTCAGCCTCCCGAGTAGCTGGGACTACAGGTGCCCGCCACCTCGCCCGGCTAGTTTTTTTTTTTTTTTGTATTTTTTAGTAGAGACGGGGTTTTGCTGTGTTAGCCAGGATGGTCTCGATCTCCTGACCTCGTGATCTGCCCGTCTCGGCCTCCCAAAGTGCTGGGATTACAGGCTTGAGCCACTGCGCCCGGCCTCTTTTCTAATTTTAAACAAATTTCTCCACTTTTGAAGTAATATGTGCTTATTTGTTTTAAAATATATATATAGGCCAGGCATGGTGGCTCACGCCTGTAATCCCAGCACTTTGGGAGGCTGAGGTGGGCAGATCACCTGAGGTCTGGAGTTCGAGACCAGCCTGATGACATGGTGAAACCCCATCTCTACTAAAAATACAAAAATTAACCGGGCATGGTGGTGGGTGCCTGTAATCCCAGCTGCCCGGGAGGCTGCGGCAGGAAATTGCTTGAACCTGGGAGGCGGAAGTTGCAGTGAGCAGAGATCGTGCCACTGCACTCCAGCCTGGGTGACAGAGCGAGACTCCATCTCAAAAATAATAAATAAAATAAATAATGTCTCCCTCTCTCAATAGATAGATAGATAGAGAGCTACACATGAAATAGGTTTATAAGTGCAGAAATAATTTCTGGAATGACAGAAAAGAAACAGTGGTTGTTTTTGGGATGAGACCCCAGAAAACCAGGCTGTTAGGCTGAGTTAGCTTTTTCTTTGCATACCATTTTGTATGGTGTGAATTTTTTTCCCTGTGTATATGTATTTTCTTTCTTTCTTTCTTTTTTTTTTTTTGAGACAGAGTCTTGTTTTGTTGTCTAGGCTGGAGTGCAGTGGTACAATCTTGGCTCACTGCAACCTCCGCCTCCCAGGTTGAAGCGATTGTCCTGTCTCAGCCTCCTGAGTAGCTGGGATTACAGGCGCCCGCCACCATGCCTGGCTAATTTTTGTATTTTTAGTAGAGACGGGGTTTCACCATGTTAGCCAGGCTGGTCTCGACCTCCTGAGCTCAAGTGATCCACCCGCCTTAGCCTCCCAAAGTGCTGGGATTACAAGCGTGAGTCACCGCACCCGGCCTATGTTTTCATTTTAACAATAACTTTTATAATAAATGTCTATGATATGTACATGGCTGTTGTGTAGAGTGAACGCAGCATAGAGGTTAAGAGTGAGGACTGTGTAAGACGGCTTGGGTTCGAGGCCTGCCCCTGCCTTGACCTCAGTTTACCTCCTCTGAAAACGGAGAGGTAGTAATACCTGCCTCCTGGAGTTGTAGCGAGGCATTGCTGAGTTAATATTTGTAAAGTCCTTGGAACAGTTCCCAGGAGGTATGTGTTTGTCGTTGTCTATGTTGCTCTGTCCCTGTGCTGTGCGTGACAGTAAGTGTAAAGATGTGTCCAGCCTCTGTCTCTGATGCTCCCTGTTCATTTGGAAAGGGAGAGCACCAGCTAATGACAGAGACAGCAGAGGTTGCAGGAGTCAGAAAAGGCTCCTTGGGAGCTGAGGTGGCCGAAGATGGTTTCATCAAAACGGCAGATGTTAAATATGGGTCTTTTCTAGAGGGAAATTAACACAAAGGGACTTTTTCCAAGGTTGTGTGTCCCAGCCAGCCTGAGGCAGGCAGAGGAGTCAGAAACAGGACAAGAGCTTTGAGGAGGCCTGAAATTGGGAAATGTCATGTGATGGCATGTCATTGTTATATGGCAGAGTTTTTCTTGGCATATATATGAGACAATGATATGATTTGTAAATGACGGCATCTTTGACTCAATGAAGTGTGGTGGCTCTGCCTTGATGTTTGGAATGGCTGTGAGGTGTTCCTGTGTGATGTATTTAACAATCCTCGTAATGCAGGGCACGTGGGTTATTGCTCATAGCCAGTGTTGCTAGTGAGTGTTCTTGACGCAGGCTTCTACATTAACCGTGAGTCTGTTTTAGGATTCATGCCTAGATAGAGTATTGCTTTCCTTTTTTTTTTTCAGTCATTTTGATTATGTTCCTTGTGTCTGGGCCACTGTCAGGTAAGTGTTTTTTCAAATTGACAGTTGCAAAGAATCATAATGGGAAGATTTTTGAAAGTGGAATTAGAGCGAGATACTACCTGAAAGAAAATAGAATTTTCTTACTAAAAATGATTTTGGGATTAAGTACTAGCTAGATGCTAATTATGGCCAGGAAACCTGGAAATACTTGCGTCTTCCCTCACCCCACCCCCAGGTCCCAGAGGTGGATGTATGTGCATGGGAACAGAGGCTGGGGAAAGCTGGCTTGGTTCCCAGATTTGGGTGCCTCAGGCTCTGGTGACCTAGGCAGGAAGAGGCGGAAGTGGTTCCTCTCACTAGCCACAAGGACCTGTGCTGCTTTTGGGTGTCAAGGTGGGAGAGAATGCGCTGCAACCTTGTGCTTGAGTCACTTTGTAATGTACTTTGTAATTCGAGGTGATGCCCCTCCTCAACTGTGTCCCTTCTGTTCTTTCCTCTGGCTTGGGGTTGAAAGAGGAGGGAGTGGTGGGCAGGGAAATGGGAGGAGCCATGACCTCTTTCCCCTCCAGCGCACAGGGCACTACTTCTTTTAGTTTGTTGCCTGGACTTAGGAGTTGGGCCCGGAGCTGCAGGAAAGTAAGTTTTATTTCTGAAAGTTGTTTTAACTTAATAGATTTTGGGGGTTCGAGGAAGTTTGTTTTCAACTAGTAGAAGACCAGAATTAAGAATTGCAGTGGAAGATGAAATGCTACCCTCTTACTAGTCCAGGACCTCTTTCAGAGCAGTAGCTTTCATTTATGTAGACTGAGGGTATGGCGGAGGCTGTGCTTTATGGATGTAATCTTCAGCAGTACTGAGGCACAAGAGTTAGGCGACTTGCTCAAAGTTAGTAAGTGCCATTTATTCAGCTGATATTTACTAAGAGCAGGAATTCACATCTAGATCAGTCTGATTCCCATACCCATACCCGTAACTACTGCATTTTGGAAGTGTGGGGTTTCCATGAAGTTTCTTTGTATTGGAGCATCTACCTGAAAGGCGAGGAGCATTTTCTCCTTTTCCTTATTAACGGTAAGCTCCTTGAGAGCAAGCATTATGTCTGTCTCTTCACTACTGCATCCTGGATGCTGGGAGCAGTGCTATGCACTTAGTAGAACCTTGGTGAACGTTTGAGTATGTGAAGGCTTATGGCGCAGATAAGTGGCAGAGTTGGAAGCCAGCCAGGAGGTGAACCATTGCGGGCCTGCTCTCTGGGGCTGTCTTCCCTGCCTAGCGAGTGGATGGTGAGGAATCACCTAGAATTTTCTCATTTTTTAATGTTTGACCTGCTGAAATATTTCTAGGGAAGAATGGGCTCCCTGGCTGTGACTCTGATTTTCCGTTTTTATTTTTTAATTTTTATTTTTTTGAGACAGAGGAGTCTCGCTCTGTCGCCCAGGCTGGAGTGCAGTGGCATGATCTCGGCTCACTGCAACCTCTGCCTCCTGGGTTCAAGTGATTCTTCTGCCTCAGCCTCCTGAGTAGCTGGGACTACAGGCACCCGCCACCACACCCAGCTAATTTTTGTATTTTTAGTAGAGATGGGGTTTCACCATGTTGGCCAGGATGGTCTTGATCTCTTGACCTCGGCCTCCCAAAGTGCTGGAATTACAGGTGTGAGCCATTGCGCCAGGCGACTTTCTAGTCTTTTTGAGGGATGGGAAGGTTTGCTGGGTATGCAGAATTGGAGTCAGTGTTCTCAGCTTGGAAGAGATGTTACAATTTAGTGATAAAATTTTTTATGGATGCCTTAAATTCTCAGAAATGGTCTTGAATCTTAAGTTTATCTAAAATTTATATAATCCCTCTCCATAGTGAGAAAAAAAATTTCTAAATTATAGTTTGATTTTTCTGTTAATATATAAGCTTCTGGATAAATACTTGTTTTTTTTTTACCCATGTGAGGTTAATTTTGGATAGATTCCATAGTGCAAAGTTGTTAAGAGTGGCAGTATAGAATTTTTAAGTTTTCTTGGGCCAAACATGGTAGTTTATGCCTATATCCCAGCACTTTGAAGGGCTTAAGTGGGAGGATCGCTTGAGGCCAGGAGTTCAAGACCAACCTGAACAACACAGCAAGACCCCGTCTCTGCAAAAAAAAATAAAAAATTACCCAGGCATGATGGTGTGTGTCTATAGTTCCAGCTACTTGGGAGGCTGAGGTAGGAAGTTGCCTGAGCCCGGGAGATCGAGGCTACAGTGAGCCGTGATCACACAGCTGCAGTACTCTAGCCTCGGCAACAGAGCAAGAGACTGTAGGGTCTCACTGCAGCCTCAATCTCCCTGGCTCAAACCATCCTCCTACCTCAGCCTCCCAAGTAACTGGGACTACAGATATATGCCAGCACACTGGGCTAATTTTTTTTGTTTACTTTTAGTAGAGTCGAAGTCTTGCTGTGTTGCCCAGGCTGTTCTTGAGCTCCTGAGCTCAAGCAGTCTTCCTACCTTGGCCTCCCAAAGTGCTGGGATTACAGGTGTGAGCCACCGTGTCCAAAGTTTTGAAAACTTTTTTGGGATACCTGGGCTTTTTCCTGCCTCAGCCTCCGGAGTAGCTGGGACTACAGGCCACACCGTCAAGCCGGCTAATTTTTTGTATTTTTAGTAGAGACGGGGTTTCACCATGTTAGCCAGGATGGTCTCGATTTCCTTACCTGGTGATCCGCCTGCCTCGGCCTCCCAAAGTGCTGGGATTACAGGTGTGAGCCACTGCGCCCAGTCTGTGATTTAAAAAAAAAAAAAAATTTACTTAGAAATAAATTATTTTCACTCCCTGATTTACATTTGAATTTCCACCAGCAACACAATTTGTTGTCATGTTTTCATAGTACTTGGGAACATTTGATGCAGAAATTTTTAATGGTCCAAGAGTATTTTAGTAAATAGATGAAACCTTCATTTTACCTGAAAAAACTTTTTCGGAAGTTTAGGAGCCAGCTTTGTTCATCCTTTGGTGATGGGTGGTGGTTCGTATGTGTTTGTAGACAAAACTTTCTTTGGCGGGGATTTGCCCTTTTTTTTTTGTTGTTTCTTCTTTCTTTGAAGGTCTCTGTTTAACAAAGTTTTTTTTGGCTCACAGTGTTCCTCTAATAGAATTCCTTCAAGAGTTCTAATACTAGTTTTGTTTTGTTTTGTTTTGATGGCAGCAGGTTCTGAGAATGAGTTTTTGACTTCGTAAGAAGACTAAAACAATAGTCTTAGAGTACAGTTAAGTCAATTTATTACCAGAAAATCAGACAGACAGCTGGGTCTGTCCTCATCAGGACCAAGTAATACTGGATTTTTTTTTTTTTCATTAAATGTTCACTATTTTTCTTTGTATGAAATTGAGGCCAGGCATAGTGACTCACACTTGTAATCCTAGCACTTTGGGAGGGTGAGGTGGAAGGAATGGTTGAGTCCAGGAGTTTGAGACTGGCCTGGGCAACACTGTGAGACCCCATCTCTTAAAAAAACAGGCTGGGCGCGGTGGCTCAAGCCCGTAATCCCAGCACTTTGGGAGGCCGAGACGGGCGGATCATGAGGTCAGGAGATCGAGAGCATCCTGGCTAACACGGTGAAACCCCGTCTCTACTAAAAAAATACAAAAAATTAGCCGGGCATGGTGGCGGGCGCCTGTAGTCCCAGCTAGTCGAGAGGCTGAGGCAGAGAATGGTTAAAATCTGAGCAACTTGCATGACTAATCCGCACTGCCACTCACTGGCGAGCACATAAAGCCGATGACTCCCGCTCAAAAAACAAAACAAAACAACAAGAAACGAAAGAAAAAAGAATTCAATATGTGGTGATTACCTACCGTTTCATTACTTTTTTATTATTAATGTAGTGACTCTTAAAAAAATGTTCATGCATTGGATCTCCGCGTTCCTTCCGCCCACCAAAAAACAAACAGAAAAACAAACACAACCCCTCATTGAAAAAAAAGTTAAGCCTGTTCTATATCTAGTATGACTACCTTTACACATTTGACTACTTCTTTTCACAGACCTCTGTTATTCTTTGAAAGCTAAATTTGGCTCCGTTGACCGTTGTGGTTAGAAAAGTTGTTCCTTTCTGCTTAATGAAAAATGATCAGTTGGTTTGCTAGATCAAATATAAAACCTCTCAGAACCGCTACTGATAAGTGCTTGTGCTTCACTAGAAGGAACACCAATGGTTTTGTGGTGGTAGATTGTTACAGAGCGAAGTGTCAGTACCAGGAGGCGGTCTCATGGATCACCACGTGGAAGCAGGTTGTTCCCAGGCGTGAGACTGGTAGCAAGCAGGTGGTGCATCTGTCTCCTTTCCCACTGCTCCTGGGGTGTCTGGAGCCTCACAGGGTTGACCTGTGTCACTGGGGGGGGGGGGTGGGTGGGGAGATGGTTGTAGAAGCCTCTTTATTTTACTTATGATAAATTCTGACACTGATTAGAAGGTTTATTCAGTAGTTTTTTTTCCTATCTGCCTGAGTTTTCATAGCTCAATATAGGATAACCTGGCTTCGGACTTTGTCAACCAATCAGTTATAGTAGTAGCTCTTTGTTTTGTTTTTAAAATTTATTTCTCTTTCTTTCTTTCCGTCTTTCCGTCCTTCCTTCCTTCCGTCTTCTTCCTTCTGTCCTTTCCTTTCCTTTCCTTTCCTCTCCTGTCCTGTTCTATCCTTTCCTTCTTTCCTTGTTTCCTTCTTTCCTTCTCTTTGCTGTGTTACCCAGAGGCTGTAGTGCAGTGGCATGATCATAGCTCACTGCAACCTTGAACTCCTGGGCCCAAGTGATCCTCCTGCCTTGGGCCCTCTGAAGTGTTAGGATTACAGCGTGAGCCACCACACCTGCCCTTGTTTTGTTTTAGTAGCTACCTGTTGGACTAGAAAAATAGTTTAATCTTGGCTCCTAAAACTTTTTCTTTTTTTTTTTTTTTGTTTTTTTTTTTGAGACGGAGTCTCGCTCTGCGCCCAGGCTGGAGTGCAGTGGCCAGATCTCAGCTCACTGCAAGCCCGCCTCCCGGTTCAGCCGCCATTCTCCTGCCTCAGCCTCCGGAGTAGCTGGGACTACAGCGCGCCGCACCTCGCCGCTAGTTTTTGTATTTTTTTTAGTAGAGACGGAGTTTCACCTGTTCAGCCAGGGATCGGGTCTCGATCTCCTGACCTCGTGATCCGCCCGTCTCGGCCTCCCAAAGTGCTGGGATTACAGGCTTGAGCCACCGCGCCCGGCCAAAACTTTTTCATTGATATTTCTTACCCTGCTAGAACAGTTCAGTTTTTGCATGTCTTCAAGTGAACATGCTTTAGTATTAATTCCTTGGAATTAATACTTGAGTCCAGTTTTGTCCAGTTTTCCTTTTGGAGCAGTGTTTCAGGCACAGAAATAGTCTGGGCTTGGTGGACCCCACCCCAAAGTGTCACTTCCTTTCCTCTGGCCTTGCTCTCCATGCCCTCCTTTCTCTTGTGATGTTTTAATGATACCCTCCCTGCTCGGTGATTTGTGTTCAGGAAGCTAGGCAGTGATTACTTTTGTTTCTGCTTTGTGAACTTCCTCCCCCACTTCCTATTTTTACCGCAGTTGCACAGGAAATGAGGCGGCTCCTGGCTGGCTGCTGCTAAGCAGTGATTTTAGGTGGCAGAG